TTCGTATTTGGGGAACCTTCTGTAGTCGACTATCGCTCTTTTCGACAGGTTCACACTGCTGAAGAGTTTTCTCGGAATCTATACTGACAAAGTACACGATGTTGCTTACTGCCGTAAGGTTACTTCCATTGACATTGGCAGGGGGTTTTTCGTAGTCAGGATTTTACGCCGGTTGGTGCATGGCCAGTCCTCTTTCTATTGATGGTCCAGCCAAAGTTAGAGCAGCCTGATGTGAGGGGCCTCACATCCTACCGCATATCCCCTTCTGTCGTGGCGTTTAGTACAAACAGCAGGTATTGGACGTTGGCGTCTACCATTAAAGCGGAAGACATGAGATTACATAGAATGGGGGCGAGTATGCAACCCTGTCCTATTGCACTCCTCAGAGCGAATTCTGCAGGAATTGTCCAAGTGTCCACGAGGCGCAACTGCTATACACGCCAAAAGCCACAGCATCACTTGGGAACCAAGTAATAACTCGCGAAACCTAACCCTTACCCGATTAAGAGCGTTTTCCTCTACAACGCTTAAAAACACACCTAGTAACACAAGTTGGATATAGGAGAGACTAGACCTAATAGCGGCTTAGACACGTGCTGTAATGACCTGCCCAAAGTTTTGAGGAGAGAGTCAGACTTCGCTTTTGACCATATTGACGTAGATCCTACGTTCAACTGGCTTTGCCAAATCTGCACAAATCGTAAACCATTGCTGAACATACCCACGGCACCCCGTGGACAGACGTTTTCACGCCACACCAACCACTGCACAATTTAATCAGTTGGCCAAGAGGTCTGGACAGGACAATCTTGCAGAGAGAGGAAAGTAAGGGCAACACGGACGTACCTGTCCTCTACACTTCAGCGTACTACATGCCACCAGAGTTTTTAACCACGAAGTCATTACTTGGAAGTCTGCCAGCTTAAGAGATATTTCAGTCTTTGCCTAATGTGGCCTTCGAAGCCACCGAACTCGCAGGAGAGCAACGACCTACAACTTCACATAGAGCCCCACTGGCGCGAAACTAGAGACCAGGTCATGTGTTGCAAAAGTGAACGAGCCCCTTCGCCTTGTTAGTCACCGAGCCCACACCTATGGCCCTCCCCAATATACGTTATTTTGCGACCGGTATACTGCGGGCGGGGAAATAGAGGCTGTGCAAATTGTCGCTGCGCCCTTAGACAATAAGGCACCTAACAGCTCACGAGAATCCAGTTATTGAGAATTGGACAAGCAAGCCACAAGAACGCACGAAGTAAATACGATAAGGATTCTTCTTATCACTGAGCCCATGCCCGCGAAAATGCCAAAGAACTCGGATGGGCTGAGAAAGTATCAGCTTTATCCGGTAAATAAAAATAATAACGGCGAGAGAAACGAAGGAAAATAATAACGTAACAAATCGAATGAACAGGACATGGTAACTCTGTAAAATATGCAGGCATTTGCGCGCGCCTGGACGTGTTCAAAATAAGTTGACACATACGGCTTAAGGCCAAACACCGGTAACACACATCCCCTATCACTGCACGCAATGACGGCGCGAGAAAAGAAGAGCTGACCAACGGACATATGTTTTGGCAGTTTTTGACCCGTACACAAAAGATAATCACAAAAGCCTCATCAGCAGCAAAGGAGATAGAGGCAAGTCTGGCAAAACAAAAATGAATAAAAAGTAAAATTACAGATAAGACTGTAGAGATCCACGGAGGGTTCAAAACAGGAGAAATGAAAAACACGCCATAGGAAGTGAAACGGCGCCGCGAAGGAGGGGGAAAGGGCGGTAGAGGGTAGTAGCGACTTTGAGGATGAAAAAGAGGAGAGGGAGATAGAGAAGAAGAAGAAACGACGCTAGGACATGCCGGCATCATGTGGCGGAACAACTGGAGGTTCCATCTTTCGTGAATTTTTCTCACAGCTACTGCTTTGCGACCTCCAACGCGCAGTGTAAAGATGTCCAGAGGGTTTGGATGTAGTTCCGGTAGCATCACAGCCTGATACGTCAGCGCCAACCTGAAAGTTGGGCCTACGATAGGAGCCCGCAGGTTTGGCATCCAGGTTAGATTCGTCGTGGGGTTGCTCAAGGATTTCGCGTAATTGTGTGGCATCCATTGAGTTACATCTCTGCGAAAGCTGTTAACCGAAAGGATTTCGAGCAAATCGTATTACCACGGTAAGAAAAGAGGAAATTGTAAATTTACAAAGGCTTATTTTTTGAAAGGTTGAAGCAATGGAAACGGCAAATCATGAAAAACGGGGTCTGCCACGATCCTGCAGGTACTTGTACTTGTTTGGATTATGATCATGCCTGATCTAGCCTGGAGGTAGGCAATCACCGCCTACATTTCAGTTTTAAATAAAAGTGTGTGCAGTTTGTAACTGCAATTCACAAGAAGCAAACTAGTTTAACATCTTAAGTGACTTAGACGAACATTCGAGAACACAAGATGCCTAGTAAATATTTTCCATGGTATAGAAACGCAAACAGATAAATCTGGTTAATCACATGCAATCTTAGGGTGCTCTTTGAAAATTCCCGCCGCTCATGAAGACAGATTTTTATCTTCTAAATACACGAGCTTATACCCCAAAGTGCACTGACAAGGGGCCAAGGGTGACAAAGCAATGTTTGCTTCAACTCTTAAAGCACTTTAAAAGCTGAAAACAGCCTTCTATTCACATAAATTAATGGAACGTTTATGTGCATACTTGTATAGCTTCACTGATCTTTTACTCATTATATGTTCGAACAAACAGGCGCAACCCTGATGGTCTCAAGCAGAAAGCAAATAAACATTTCTACAGTAGGATATAAATTACGACGGCCTCTGAGAGAAATGATCAGAGCAGCACTTGGCCGCCGCTCACTGGAATTAGAAGCAGCAAACAGTGTTTACCTTACTGCTGGAGTCATGTGGTCGCTTCGAATGGGCAACTGGAGGATTATCTGGATGCATTTTTAAGACGGTCGGGCGAGGGGACTGAAGAGGGCGTTCTGGTGCGCTGCTGCTATGGGGG